TAAAAATCAAGTTTTTGATTCAGCAATGAGATCTCTATCCAAATTAGAGATAAGATTAGATGATTTGTGGTAAGATTGAATCAAGATTTGAAATTCTAATTTATCAATCAAATCTCCAAGGTTGTTACATGAAAAAAAAGGAAACAAAGTTTAAATCAAATACAAACTCTTGGATGGGCTCAATGCCGGTGGTTATAAATAAGGAGATTGGGAGCACAACAAAGCAACCAATTCACAACTCGGAGCAAGCAGTAGAGGACTGAAGATCAAGAATTCTTCTCCATTCTTTCCAGTAATTATAGTTTTTATGCTTTCTTTTGAATATTTGTTTATGTCAGATATGATTATGTCTGGCTAAGTTCTTTTATTGTAGTTAGGGTCACAAACCCTATGTGAACCCTTGTTATGACGGATTGATTTAAATTATTTTACTCGTTTATATAAATTTCTTTATCTTACCTTGTGCGTATTTGATATTTTCTTTATTAAACCTGATCAATTTGATAGTTGAAAATAGTTTGAGGGTTAGAACCTTAAATAGGGATATTGGGGTTTCTGATCTTGAAAGGAGATAAGATAACTATTGGTATGCATACTAGGGATAGATCTATATTTAATTGCAGATGTTGGAATTATTGTGTTCATTGCTTAATTCTCATGAGGGGTTACTAAGGGATTAGGATTCTAAGTGAGGTTAAAGGGTTAAGTTACCAAGGGATTGGGATTTAATTATTAATATATTGAGATCATAATTATCTGAGAAATTATATAAATAAGTATTTTGTATCAATCCAAAATAATAAGTGGGGATCATAGGGAGAGTGTTCCCTAACTGCAATTCTTTCTCATATTTTCAAAACCAACTCCATTATTATTCTTCTTTTCATTCTTCAAAATACAAAAACTCAAAAATAAGTCTTTACTTTTATGGTTACTAAGATTCAATTTAATTTTCCCAACAAGAGATCAAGTTTTTCAACTTAAAGTGACTGATTATTTTAGTACTTGGTTTTCAATCCCTGAGGAGACGATCTTTCTTACTACTTTACTACTTATGCGAAACGGTATACTTGCCGGATAACATCACTCTTTTTCTGTAACATCACAAATTGCCATATGTCAGAGACAAAAGTGGGTGGGTGTCAGTGATGCTTCGATTGGGAACCATACGAGACATAAATACTGAGTATTAAGCACATGCATTATCACTTGGCAACCCCATTCGACGATGATGTGTGATTTCAGCTAAAAAAACTTCTTCCTGCAGACGTTCAACAGTAAAGAAGGGTCAATTTCGACAATATTTTGGTGCTCATTTTTTCCTTTCCCAGGCACCCGTTGATTACCACCGACGATGCAGGTATTAAGAACAGTGAAATCAACCGAGTTTTTCACATGATATATGTTGCCTGGGTATACCATTTTGCTAGCATAATTTTTCAGAATCTCCTACCAAACGTTGACATCTTCCATTCCCTATCTAATTTGCCTAGGTGTTTTTTGAAAAGTCCGCTACCAAACGACCCCTAAAGGTATTCTCAAATTCTAAGCTCTAAGTTTCAAAATCTCTAACCTTTAATTACAATGGTCTTCAAGTGTATTTATAAGGTAAGGGAAACCATCCACCTTCTTCCAGAATCTTCAATCGTTATGGTTGTTGAGGTTGTTGGGCAGACATTGAGCCTTGCACCAATAATATGATGCATGCAAACATTAATGGAGGAACCACCCCAACACTTATCTCTTAGTCATAGGATATGAGATTCTCTCTCTTATCTCTTTAACTTTGCTACCTATCTTTAGTTGTTGTTTCTAAAAGCTATGAGCCCATAAGATGGGTCTAGAACACTGTGTATGATGATCATTTTATTCTTCGGCTTATTTGTAAAGAAAAGTGATTTTTTTATTTATGTGTACAGGTATAAAAACTATTTTTTTTTTAATTTTTATTCATGAACTATTGGTTTATTTTTTGAAATACAAAAAAAAATTAATTTTATAAAAGGTGATTCTTAATCATTTATGTTTTTCAGACTGAAAATGCAGAAAAAATAATTTTGTAGAATATTATTGTTCGGTTCTATTAAACCGTATAATGATACCTCAAGGGTATGCGCTCAGAGATATCCTATGGATGGATATCTTGGTTGGCTTATAGCCAATATCCCCATCACTGCGCACAAGCAATAGGCTTATAGCCGAGACGTGGGTGTGTGCACAGTGTGGGCAGAAGTAGTAAATGAGTTCAGACTGTATACCTGGGGTCTTTAACCTCTTATTTATAAGGGTTACCTCTTGGGCTTGTGTAGATCTCCCAGTTGTAGTATGATTTAACTTCCTTTCTGTTGGGATAGAGACTCTATCCTTAGCTGCCTTACTGTTTTATATTGTTAGAATAATTGGAGAATTATTTTTTAAGGGATCCTTGGGTAGGTGGTTAGGATATGTAAATATTCCATAACAATTATCATCACGCTATTAATAATGAATAATATCATTAAGTGGTAGAATATTTAATATTTGTTATTGATCAATAATAAATTAATAATCGTTGAATAATGGTCATGATTTATCTTTGAATGGTCTAACATTATACTTTTTTTATTAAATGAAATTTTAATATTTGTTTCTAACAATTGCTCCTCATTTTTAATTGTTTGATAATATCCGCCGCGTGATTGGAACGTTAAATGTTATCACTCATATTTGAGAGATCCACAATTAGTGATCAATACTTTTATATTTGTTGTCAACAACTATTAAATAAAATTAAATGGTCAATTTTTCTAATTATTTTTTCTTTTTTTTTTAATAATTATAATTTTATTTTTTTTGCATTAAATATTACTTTCGAATGCCCTTGTTAAGTTGTTATTAATTTTCCTTAGTTATAAGTAACTTTGGTGAAAGTCTTCAACGTGTGATAACAATTTTCTTAACTTATATTTAAGGAGAATAACTTCAAACATATGCATATTTATGAAAAAAAAAAGTGAGAATGTAGAAAAGAACTATTTAATATTTATGACCTTATTCCATAATTTTCTTTTCGAGTAAATGACATTAGCTATATGAGCTTTTGAAATATTACAAATATTTGAAAATGGGTATTTAAAATTATAACATAACAAATGTATATCCAATTGATTCAAAAAGAAATATTTCAAATATCCTTAACATATCTATTGGGAGATACTGTGGTATAATTTAGGAGTTGTTGATAATATATGTAATGTACCCAAAGATTTGATACTATAAATCGTCACTCTTTTATGTTTGCTTAAATTTTTTTATAGATATGTTCCAATATAAATTTTTGAATAACATTATATCAAATTATACACATACTTTATATGATTTGTGGAAGTGTCTTTTTCTTTTTACATTCTCTTATGCCTTGTGTTCTTGATATACTATTTACTAATAGAGAAACTTTAGATTCTTTGAAACTTTTGGGCATCTCTCATATATAAATAAGGTTTTCATCCTCACTGAAAAAACGACATAGGTGTTTATCTTACCTTAAACATGATAGTACTCATTATTTTTATTGATTTGAGCATTGAAATCTTCTAGATACATTACCCCATCGTTTTACCGAAGCGCGGAGGAGGTTTTTTTTATTGCCATCACCCTTAAACCTACTTTATAGAAGCTCAAACTCAACCTCTATATCGGGCAAACACATATGAAGAGTTTGCTATTTGGATTTGGCATACTAGCTATCCCTCTTAAGATACCAGACTTCGACGTGCGTAACAGCACAATTAGTTCATTCATTAGATTTATTGAAATGAAAGGATCTAAAAGACAAAATACGGTCTCGGTTAAAAATAAAAAATTAATTGTCTGCATGAACTCTTTTCTTCGTTTAAACCTTTCAAAATGTGTGCTGACTTGTAATCCTCTACTTCAAATAAAAAACAGTAGACTTCTTAATGAACAATCCCTTCTTTATTTTTCTTTACAAATTGTTGTCCTTTGTTTTCATCTTTTAATGGGCTTTATACTCATGAAAAGCAACCGCACACAAGTTTTCTACAACATAGTTTGCATTAAGTACAAAGTCTGATTGATTTGAAGGCCAACAAATGACTCGAAAGGCACTTAGCCAAAACCATATGCATGATATAGTGAGTGAAAGCTGATTTGAAAGTGAAATGTGCGTGGTACACCTTATAATATTGAATATCCTTTTTCATCCTTTTATTCATAATAATACATGTAAAATAATATTGATCGCTTTTAGAGATTCTAATACAAATAATAATAACATTTACATTGACTATATCATCTCAAATTATTTTTAGAGATTCTAACAAAAGTTATTAAATAACACTTTAATTTCATTTTAACTTTTTTAAATAATTCAAATAAGTCCAATCAAAATTTATAAGAAGCTTGTAAAAGATAAAATATATGCCAACAAACTTTTACATCAGTGGAGAACATTATGCTTTATTAGCCTTTATACCAAAATTTCAAAAAAATGAAAAATAAAAAACTGAGGACATAATGCAAAGTCTAATGGCACCACATCCCAATCCTAACACTTTGCATACAGACAAATCAAATAATAAGTTGATCATAGCATTACACTTAAACAATTACTCCAACAATGTGGCACTGCCACGTGGACCCTCCAACTACTATCTCAAGCTTCTAGAAGCTTGCCACGTGTCAGAAAGCTCTGTCCCACATGACATCTGTAACTCACATAGGGGACAGGTAATTTTAGAAACGGAAGAGAATCAATCTTGTGAGTCACTTCTTTTACAAAAATACCCTTTATCTTTTTCCAAAATGACAAATACGCCAATTTCGTATAACAATACCATATCCGTATATGTATGTATCTCGATACGTTACGGATAAGATACACGAAGGCTCTAACTAGATTTAAGCCTCAAAGCTCTAAATTTTTTTCACGTATCTCTCTCTCTCTCTCTCTCTCTGTTTCTCTCTCTATCTTTCTCTCTTTCTCTCTCTTTGTCGGTGTACGCAGATCTTGTGCACTCCACGTTCTTCATCTTTGCTACTGTTGTTCTCATTTAGCTTTTTTCAGCTGCAACAAATCGTGGGTATCTCGTGGTTTTTCTGTTGAAGCAAGCTAAAGCGTATTTTTTTCAGAGCTTGGATCTTTGGTGGGGTTGTGAAAATGAGGGTGGTTTCGTAACTGGGTTGGAGCTGAGTCACTATATGATTGTGGGTGGTGACTGCTTTTGCAGTTTGGTGTTGTTGTTGTTTGGATTGGAAGGGAAGGTGTATGTGTGATCTCATTTGGATTCTATGTTTGGTGAAGGGTTTGGGGAAGAGGAGGATAAACTGGGATTGTTGGGGGTTATTGATAAGGAGCAGGGGTAGTTGGGGCAAATGTGGCTGAAGTAAGGTGAAAGTTTTGTCTTTGTTTTTTTGTGGGAAAATTTGAGACCTGGGTTTTGTTCAGTTTGTGCTTGATCTTCACCCCATAGGGAAATTTTGGAGAATTTGTGGGTGTCAGCAGATAATGCAGCAAGATCATAAGAAAAAGGTGGATCTTTTGTTCATCCTATTTGGAATTGTACAATTGTGATTGGGAAAAATCATTGCTCTTTTTTTTTTCTTCTTCTTCTTCTTTACATGTTTTGTGAATGATGACTAGGAAAATTAAACAGAGTAATAAGATCATGCTTGTGTTGGTGAATGATGGGTGCTGAGAATTTTCAATGGTGTCTTGTTAGCTGAGACTGTAACATTTTCGGTTTTGCTTGTTCTCCCGATAGCTAGTCCATCAATGATTTGGTTTCTCTCTCTCTCTCTCTCTCTCTCTCTCTCATGTTTCTGTTACACATGGAGAATAACGGGCATGGTTGGCAAGATCTTTTTCAAGATTTTTTAACTGATGAAATTTACATGGTTCTTTTTGAACTGATTAGGTGGCTTTCTTGGGGTTATTCTTTCAACCGCACCCTTTAGATTTTCTCTTTCTACACCTGTTGAGTTGTGCTTTGTGCAATTTGTCTCAATACTAGATGGCTTTCCTGTTTTAAATGCTCACAGGTTTTTTTTTCCATCAGATCGGAATCTGCCTACTGTTTATTTTGTATTGTTTTGACAAATTTATCGCCCTTCCAGTTTGCCATGCCTTTGTCTTCTTGCAATTCCTGTTCTATATTTTGTCTGTGTCCCTTTTGACACTTTCTCTTGGAGTGACTCCTTTTACATATATATGAATGTTTATTTATTTATTTTTGAATAATGGATTTTATGTATAATAAATTGTATATGGCTTCAAAATAGGTGGGAAAATATTGCATTATATAAGTGCTTATCCCTCCAAAATAATTTGTATATTGCTGTTGAGTTGAAAAGAGATAAGAAAATCTCAATTTGTTTCGATATAAATTAGACTGAGTGGAATGAGAAGAAATGGTAATTAAATTAGCCTGATGTGTTTGATATTGGAGTGTGAAAAGAATTGAGATATATTTATTGGTACTAAATGCTAAAATTTCTCCTTTTAATGGTATTCTTATGTGATATGGAGTGAGTGGTTGCATAGATGCATTGTGTGTCTTTTATGTTTTTTATTTTTATTTGAATACAATGGGAATCGAACACAACACCTACTACCCACTACCCAACCCCCCTCACCACTAGGCTAGCCATAGTGGCTTATTATGTTTGTTATTTGTTAGTTTGCTTGTGTCATTCTAATCAATGGGGAAATGATCATATTCCTGTGAATATAATCTAGCTCCTCTTTCTTTGAGATTGTGACTCTCTGATATTTTGATAATTCAATGATGTGAATTTGAAGCAAACACACTAATTTATATTATGTCTATTATTTTTAAGTTTAGGTTATATTGTCTACCAATTTAATTTTCCTACCTTTACTATCACTTTTGCACCATTGGATGTTATCTGAATCAATGGCTTCCAAGCACACTCAATACCACTTCTTTCTCTCTGTTTTGTATGTCTCTTCTCTTTTTTCTCTCTTCAAGAAGTGGGATCCAGTGTGCTTAGAAGCTATTAATTTAGATACCATCCAACGGTACAAAAATGATACTAAAGGTTGGAAGATTAAATTGGTAGGCAATATAACGTGCCTCTTATTTTTATTGATGAGTTCTGATTTCTGAAATATGTGCAATAGAAATTAATTTCTCTGTAATGCTGCAAATTTTTTTTTTAAATTTCTATCTATATTGAAAATTTGCTTTTCCTTTGTTGCTTTGGGTTGATTTCTGAATGTTTTCGATCTTTCAAATTTGAACTTGCCTGATTTTGCTATGTGGAATAACTTTATATCTCTGCTACAGAGTTCAACAGAGATGGATTTTTTCTCTGAATATGGTGATGCCAACCGGTACAAGATTCAAGAAGTCATTGGCAAAGGAAGTTATGGTGTTGTCTGTTCAGCCATTGACACTCATACTGGTGAAAAAGTGGCAATTAAGAAGATTCATGACATCTTTGAGCATATATCTGATGCTGCACGTATTCTCCGTGAGATAAAACTGCTGAGACTTCTACGACATCCTGATATTGTTGAAATAAAACACATTATGCTGCCTCCTTCTAGGAAGGACTTCAAAGATATTTATGTTGTTTTTGAGCTAATGGAGTCTGATCTTCATCAAGTCATTAAAGCCAATGATGACTTAACAAAAGAGCACTATCAGTTTTTTCTTTATCAATTACTTCGGGCACTGAAGTATATTCACACTGGTAATAGGCATTATATTTCAGTTACTGTTATATATAAATGCACATTGCATGGCTAATGGCTATTACATGTGTTTTTCACTTTCATGGGGTGTACGTGAAACTGAATATTTTTTCAGCATTCCTCTCAATAATGATGTCAGGATTGTGTACATTATCTTCTTTTGACTGTTGCTTTTGTTTCTATTATTTTTCACTTCTCCCATGCATCATCTGAAAATTGCATACTTTTTGTCTGAATTTTTCGCCCTTCCTATGTCCTTTTTTACTTGGTCTTGTCTGTTCTGTAATATGAGTTTGCTGGCGTTGATGTCAATATTGCTCATCTAATTCTTAGCTGTACAATGCAGCAAATGTTTATCATCGAGATTTGAAGCCAAAAAATATACTGGCAAATGCAAACTGTAAACTTAAAATCTGTGATTTTGGGTTGGCTAGAGTTGCCTTCAGTGACACACCAACAACTATATTTTGGACGGTATTCCTTCTTAACATTTCCATTGTTTGTTTCCTTTCTACTTTTTTTTTTCAAGCTTTTCTTCTTCTTGTTATTATATTATTCGTTAAAACTTTCTCATATAATTTTGGAAATTAGGGACTGATGTTTCTTGCTTGTTTAATGCATGCATTTGTAGGATTATGTTGCTACAAGGTGGTATAGAGCTCCAGAGCTATGCGGATCATTTTACTCGAAGGTATGGCTTTTCTAGATTCTTTTGGACACTGTTAATGTGAGAGACAACATAAATATGCATAATCTTGACTTACCATACCTTTTTTCAAATTTAATATCAACATTCATTCTGTTATCTTCTTTTCCGTCTATCAGCTAACTAAATGACCTAAGGATCGAGACCAATCTGTTATTTGTTATTAATATACTAGTTATATATGTTTCTGTTATTTTTGTATCTGCCACTGAGCTAACACTTTGGTATTGACTGCAAGACCATTATCTTAGGCAAGATAATGCGTGATACATTGATTACCTTAGTGTTTGGTATTGAATTATGAAGTCTATGAGAAGTTTATTGCTTATGCTTGTCTATACTGGTGGTTTTTCTGCATCAATAGTCTTTGATTCATAGTTGTTAACAATGGAAAGTTTGATGTTATGCATAGTGTACCTTGTTTGTGGAAGCAAATTACTTGTAGATATAAGTAGAGACATTTATCTAGTTGTTTTTCATCACATTCCACTGGGTGTCGGGGCCCAATTATGTAAGGCCCAATTGAATAAGGTCTATGTGAGAGACAAAGGCAGGAAACGTTGGCATGCTTCCAATCAGTTGGTTACTGCTGATAAGATAATTTGTTAGAGGGAGAGGAGGTTTTGTGCGTTGCAAGTTACTTAGAGTTAGTGGGGTATTATTAGGAAGGAATGGGGGGAAGGAGGGAGGCACCAAGGAGGTCATTGTGATTGGATTGTCTTAGGAGATTAGCAGGGTGTCTCGGAGGTCCCTGGTGTTAGCTTTTTGTTGTTATTTTTCCTTTAAATAATGAGCCATAGCAACACTATGGTGATCCATTTGTAATGCCTTTTTCTGGTTATTACTGATAAATACCAATACACGAGTGTTATTCAATACATTGTGCATTCTCTTTTAATTTGATTGTATCAATTTGGTACCAAAGCTCTGCCTGGGAGCTGGGTTAAGGTGTGGACGAGAAGCATGGAAGGAATGGAAGAGAGGTTACGTCGCAGTGAGCAAGCTCGGGATGAACTATTGCGAAGGATGGATGCCAGTGATGCGAATCAAGCCAAAATCATCCGACAATTAAGGGAACTTGGAGCGGGAATTGAGCAGCTCCAATCTAATGAGTTCCAGAATGAGCGAAACCATGGGGGCGGGTATCGAAGGAGAAATAGTTCGGAGGGTTCTCATGGAAGTCACAGAGGGACAAATTACGGTGACTGGAGGGTCAAAAAATTGGACATCCCAATTTTCTCAGGGGAAACGCTTATGCGTGGCTTAGCAAGGTGGAACGATATTTTCAAGTGAACGAAATTGGGGAAAACGGTAAGGTTCCGGCAGTGATGTTGGTACTTGAAGGAGAAGCGCTTAATTGGTACAGTTGGTGGGAGCTAGATAAACCAATGGCGACATGGGTGCATTTCCAGCGAGAGATCTTGTGTCGATTTTAGCCTGAGTTGCTAGATAACCCCTATGGTCCGCTTTACTCGTTGAAGCAAACTGGCTCGGTGACGGAGTTTCGGGGTGAATTCGAAGTGGTGGTGGGCGCCATGCGATATGCAGATGAAGAGATATTGAAGGGCGCATGGCGTAGTGGTCTAAAACCCAGTATCAGACAAGAAATCCTGATGACTCCTGGGCTGGATTTAGCATTGATGATGAGGCTAGCCCAAGAGATTGATCAGCGAAATTTAGCTTGGGCTGAAGAAGGGGTGGGGTATTTTGGGCCTAAAACATTTAGTGGGCCACAAAGGTTCATTAACAATACCTCTTACCTAAAGGGAGAGTCAGCAAAAATAACCCAGCTACTTCTAACACTATGGACTCAGGTTGAGCCAGCAACGTTGATAACCTAAAACCTAATGCCCTAAATCGAGGCGGAACAGGGGTGGTGACGCAGGGAAGCTCATCAACAAACTGTAAGGAGGACAATTAAGAGTAGTTTCCGACGTCTTTTCAACGCGGAAAAGACGTCTTTTCCGACGTCTTTTCATTAACAATACAGCTTACCTAAAGGGAGAGTCAGCAAAAATAACCCAGCTACTTCTAACACTATGGACTCAGCGCTGATAACCTAAAACCTAATGCCCTAAATCGAGGCGGAACAGGGGTGGTGACGCAGGGAAGCTCATCAACAAACTGTAAGGAGGACAGTCAAGAGTAGTTTCCGACGTCTTTTCAACGCGGAAATGATAGATCGAAGGAATAAAGGGTTGTGTTTTCAATGCGAAGAAAAATGGAACCCGGAACATAGGTGTGCAGTAAAACAACTTCACCTACTGATTATGGACGAAGGAGACGACGACGACGACGATAAGGTGATAGCGAAAGCTGTTGGAAAAAATTTGCGAGGACATGGAGCGAGCCTTACAATTGACCTTGCAGAGCATGATGGGTCTCACGTCAAATCAATCGATGAAGGTTTGGGATGTGGTGGAAGGAAAAAGGCTTGAGGTGTTAATTGATTGTGGTGCGTCCAATAATTTTGTGAAGGCGAAGGTGGCCCTGCTTCTGGGATTAAAGGTGGAGCAGACTCCCTTATTCCGTGTTGAAGTGGGGGACGAGCACAAGGTTGAATGTAGTGGAGTGTGTAGGAAGGTTAAGGTTGTGATTCAGAACCATGAGATTGTGCAAGATTTATATAATTTCGAATTGAGAGGGGCTGATATTGTTTTGGGACTGGATTGGTTGAAGGAGTTAGGTGAAATTCGAGCTAACTTCCAAGAGATGACTCTCAGATATTGGACACAAGGCAATGAGACCTTCATCAAAGGTGACCCTTCCTTATCCAGAACAATTTCTTCTCTAAAATCCATGTCCAAAGCTCTTTTGCAGTCAGGCCAAGGGTACTACTATGTGGAAAAAGAAGAGACAAATCCGAAAGAAGGGATTGAGGATGCTATTTTTCCTAAAGATTGGAGGGAGCTGGCAGAGTTACTTGATTAGTTTGCAGATTTGGTTTTGGTACCTAAAGGGATGCCTCCTCAGCGAACCAGGGATCACACCATCACCTTGAAACCAGGAAGTCAAGTGCCTAATTGTCTCCTATACAGGTATATTCATTACCATAAAACTGATATTGAGAAGTTGGTTATTGAATTGATGAGTGACGTATTTATCAGACCAAGTATTAGGCCCCATTCCAGTCCGATCATTTTGGTTAAAAAGAAAGATTGGAGTTTGAGAGTTTGTGTTGATTATAGGACCGTGAATAAAATAACTGTCGTAGATAAATTCCCAATACTAGTTGTTGAGGAGTTGCTCGATGAGCATGGGGGATCAACTGTGTTTAGTAAACTGGATTTAAAGTCCGGTTATCATCAAATTCGTATGAAGGAAGAGGACATTCCTAAAACGGCATTCCAAACGCATGAGGGTCATTATGAATACTTGGTGATGCCATTTAGGCTCACGAATGCACCGTCAACATTTAATGTGCTTATGAATGAGGTATTGAAACCTTTCTTGCGGAAGTTTGCTTTGGTGTTTTTCAATGGTATTTTAATTTACAGTAGGAGTTCCGAGGAGCACATTGGGCACCTTAAACAAATATTCACAGCTTTACGGAGGAACAGGTCTGTATGGTAACCAAAAAAAAATGTAGATTGGGGCAAAACTGAATTGAATACTTGGGTCATTATATTACTGCTGACAGGGTCAGTGCAGATCCAAGCAAAATCAAGGCCATGGTGAATTGGCCGAGTCCTAAAACTATGAGAGCTGCATGGGTTTCTTGGCCTCATTGGTTATCATTGCAAGTTTATGAAAGATTATGGGAAGATAGCTCAACCTTTGACGAATTTGCTAAAAAAAGAAGGATTCAAGTGGGATCAAGCAGTGGAGGATGCATTTCAGTTGTTAAAAAATGCTATGGTCAGCGTGCCAGTGTTAGCATTACCAGATTTTTCTAAAACCTTTACGGTAGTAATTGATGCTTCCGGTAAAGGTATTGGGGCATTGCTTATGCAACATGGTCGACCTTCGGCATATATTAGTCAAGGGTTTTCCAAATATTCATTGAACAAATCAGTTTACGAGAAGGAGTTAATGGCCATTGTATCCGCGGTAAAGAAATGGCGACCGTATCTTCTAGGGAGACAGTTTATTGTAAAAATTGATCAAAAAAGCCTCAGGTTTTTATTGGAACAGCGCGTGTTGGGAGAGCAACAACAATGTTGGATATCTAAATTGTTGGGATATGACTTTGAAATTCAGTAACAGCCAGGAAAAGAGAATGTCGTAGCGGATGCTCTTTCTAGAAATATGCAATAGTCTATGATTTCTCAGATGCAACGCCAGAGTTGGAGGAGGTGGAAAGCGAGGTACAGGGGGATCCGAAACTGCGCAATATTGTACAAGAATTAATATTGAATCCTGAAGCGCATGTGGGGTTTAATTTGGTTGGAGGTAGGCTGTTCTACAAGGATCGACTGGTTTTATCCAAAGTCGCTAGATTTATTCCCTTAATCTTGCATGAATCCAATGTTGGGGGCCATTCCAGATTTTCCAGGACTTATAGAAAAGTGATGGGTGTAGTTTATTGGGAGGGAATGAGAAAATCCATTCAACAATCAACAATATGTTAATGCTTGTTCTTTTTGCCAACAAAGTAAGGTCCAAAATCTATCACTCGCGGGTTTGCTGCAGCCCTTGCCCATCCCAACGCAGGTATGGTCCGAAATTTCAATGGATTTTGTAAAGAACCTTGGGATACACCACCCCAAATGCTAGCTCAAAGGGTGGGAGTGCCCAAGGCCTTGTAAAGAACCTTTGAGCTAGCTTTTGGGGCGGTGTATCCCAAGGTTCTTTACTTGGTATCAGAGCCTCGCCGCCCGCCCACTTTTTCTTGTGGAATTTCTTAGCACGAGTAGGCTGGGCCTGTTGCATCATCCACTCTTCAAGTCCAATGGACTTTCGTGTGAGGGGGCGTGTTGAGATATATAGTCCCACATTGGTTGTATGTGCAACTAATGTGGAGTTTATGAGACCTTGGGCACTGCCACCCTTTGAGCTAGCTTTTGGGGTGGTGTATCCCACGGTTCTTTACAGATTTCATTGGTGGCTTGCCTAGAGCGTTTGGTGTTGATACCATTTTCGTTGTGGTTGATCGTCTTAACAAACATGCCCATTTTATGGTGCTGTCCCATCCTTGTTCAGCAAAAGATGTGGCTGAATTGTTTGTTAAGGAAATTGTTCAACCACATGGGTTTCCTTTAGTGGTGGTTTCGGATAGGGACAAGGTATTTTTGAGCAAATTTTGGTCTGAATTATTCAAGTCTGCTGGTACTAAACTGTATTACAGTACGGCGTATCACCCGCAATCCAATGGGTAATCCGAGGTGGTGAATAGAGGGTTGGAGATTTATCTCCGTTGTTTCTGCAGCCCGCAGCCAAAGAGTTGGCCTAGGTGGCTGCATTGGGCGGAGTTTTGGTATTATACCACGTACAAGGAGTCGACCGGAATGACACCGTTCAAGGCTCTTTACAGTATTGATCCTTCACAATTATTGAGAGTGGAAAATAGTTTTTTGAAGTTAGACGCAATGTCATCCTTACTGGCAGAGAGGGAAGCTATTTTGGCTGAATTGAAATCGAATTTGGAGAAAGCCCAAAACCGTATGAAGGTCTAGGCTGATCAGCATCGAAGGGACACCAAATTTGAGGTAGGGAATTTGGTTTACCTGCGGATTCAACCTTATAGGTTGAAGACTTTGGCTTCTAGGGTCAATGAGCCTTTTTGGGTTGAGGAGAAGGTTGGAGTGGCTGCCTATCGCTTATCATTGCCGGATGGATGTAAAATTCACCCTGTCTTTCATGTGTCATTGCTTAAGAAAGCTTTTCCTGCAGTGTAGACTATCCAACCGTTGCCTGATATGCTGACTGCTGAATGGGAACTACACTACACGTTATCCCTCCAGACATTCTGGATTGGCGCCGGGGTCCTCAAGGCAATGTTAAGGTTCTTGTCAAATGGCACGGTTTACCAGAATATGAAAATTCATGGGAGGGTTTCACTACCTTGGATACTCAATTTCCAGACCTCCACCTTGAGACAAGGTGCTTGTTGTTTTTTTTTTTTTTTTGGGGGGGGGGGGGGGGGTATTGACAGGGCCCAATTACGTAAGGTCCGATTGAATAAGGTGTATGTGAGAGACAAAGGCAGGGAACGTTGGCATGCCTCCAATCAGTTGGTTACTACTGAGTCAGATAATTTGTTAGAGGGAGAGGAGGTTCCGCGCGTTGCAAGTTAGTTAGAGTTAGTGGGGTATTATTAGGAAGGAATGGGGGGGGGGGGGGGGGGGGGAGGGAGGCACCAAGGAGGTCATTGTGATTGGATTGTCTTAGGAGATTAGGAGGGTGTCTCGATTATTTTTCCTTTAAACACTGAGCCATAGCAGCACTATGGTGTTCCATTTGTAATGTCTTTTTTTGGTTATTGCTGATAAATACCAATACATGAGTGTTATTTAGTACTCGTGCGTCCTCTTTTAATTTGATTGTATCAGTGACACTTGTCCATTAAAATGTTGTAGGGTTGTTGAGATTGAACTCACTCATTAAGCATTGTCAATATGGAGCTGCATTTCTTGTGGAGCTTCTGGGAAAATGTTTTAGCATTGTTGTGATTAAACGTGTGTATTTATGCATGTACTGGCTCTAGTTAAATAATTCATGCTGAACTAAACTTTTTATTCTATTTGGTTACAAAGGGACGTGTCATAATGGTACCGGTTTTCAGATTCGCTTTTTGTAGTAATTTTATTCATAATTCTTGATGCAGTATACACCAGCAATTGATATATGGAGTATAGGTTGCATCTTTGCTGAAGTACTAACAGGAAAGCCACTTTTTCCTGGAAAAAATGTAGTCCATCAGTTGGATCTGATGACAGATCTGCTTGGGACTCCCCCATTGGATACTATATCGCGGGTAAACCTTTTCCCCGACTGAGGAAAAACCATTTGTATTGCTTATCTTAATTCTGAACCAAAAGTTACCAGCCTGTGACAATTATTTGTGTTGGATGCAGGTACGCAATGATAAGGCAAGGAGATATCTAACTAGCATGAGGAAAAAGCAACCGGTGTCATTTGCACATAAATTTCCCAATGCAGACCCTTTAGCACTGCGACTGCTCGAAAGGTTGCTGGCTTTTGACCCAAAAGACCGGCCTACTGCTGAAGAGGTTTGTTACATTGTGTTTTCTTGCTTATATATGTGCAATGAAATGTATATTAGTTGTATCCTTGACCTACTTCTTGAGCTTGTCTTTTTCATTTGAACAATAAAGGTTATATAATAACATTGTATAGAAATCTATTAAATATGTTGTTTTGATTTTCTTGCTTGAGATTTTTAAAGGTTTTGATGTCTTCAGGCATTGGCTGATCCTTACTTTAAGGGACTGGCAAAAGTTGAGAGGGAACCATCCTGCCAGCCTATCACAAAAATGGAGTTTGAATTTGAAAGACGTAGAGTCACAAAGGAAGAAATTCGAGAGCTAATTTTCCGTGAGATTCTAGAGTATCATCCTCAACTATTGAAAGACTACATGAATGGAACAGAGAGAACTAACTTTCTTTATCCAAGGTTTCTTGATTTCTTGATTGCGTTTGCATTTTGACTGTTTATGACGTTATCTTCTTCGTCCCTTTGTTAATTTTCAATTCAGATTTTCAACTTTATCATCTTCTCCTTACTCTTTTTGGTGCATTTCTGTACAGTGCTGTTGATCAATTCAGAAAACAGTTTGCTCATCTAGAGGAAAATGGTAAAAATGGTCCAGTTATGCCACTTGATAGAAAGCACGTTTCTCTTCCAAGGTAATTCTATTTCATAATCAGTTTCTCATTGGATTTCATCTGGCATTTTTTGACTTGAAATTGTTGTGGACAAATAGTTACTTTTTATTGCATGCTGCTTAAGCTGAGATAGTAATCATAGGATTGAATGTTCTATAATAAAAATCACTAATATAAAGTTGTGGAAGAGAGTTACTGAACATCGCATGAGGAAAGAGATCGAGGTCTCTGTAAATTAATTTGAGTTTATGCCAGGAAGATGTACCATGAAAGCCATTTTCTTAATGTGACAATTAATGGAAAGATGTCGAGAAAAGAAGAATGACTTACATACGGTGTTTATAGATCTTGAGAAGGCATACGATAGGGTTCTAAGAAAAGTTTTATGGTGGATTCTTGAGAAGAAAAAAGTACCATCAAAGTATGTAGACGCAATCAAGGATATGTATGATGGTGCTGCGACATGTGTGAAGCTTGTAATGGAACATCAATTTATTTTTCATTCACGGAAAGTTCTGCTCTAAGTCTTTATCTCTTTGCCTTAGTTATGGATGAATTAACAAAAGATATTCAAGAGGAAGTGCCATGGTGTATGCTTTTTGTAGATGATATTGTGCTTATTGATGAGATCAAGGCTGGTGTTAATAGAAAACTAGAATTGTGGGGGAAAGCACGTTGGAGTCAAAAGGATTTACGTTAAGCCAGAGCAAGACTGAATATATGAAGTGTGAGTATTCTCTGGTAAGAGATAAAGATCAAGATTTCGTGCATCTGTTTGGACAAGAGGTACTCAAGAAATATGCTTTTAGATACCTGAGATCAATTTTGCAAAAAGTTGGAAAGATTGATTATGATGTAAATTATAGAATCAGAGCAGGGTGGATGAAATGGTGTGGTGCATTTGGGTTTTTGTGTGACCGCAAAATTTTCCTTAGTAAGGCCTGCAATATTATATGGAGTTGAATGTTGGCCAAGCACATAGGCAACATGAGCATAAAATGAGAGTAGTGGAAATGCGGATGTTAAGGTGGATGTGTGATTATACGAGGATGGATAGGATAAGAAATAAAGATATTCGACGAAAGGTAGGAGTAGTACCAGTGGCTGAAAAGATGAGAGAACATAGATGGAGGTGGTTTATGTATGTTATGAGAAGGCATCTGGATGCTCTTGTAAGAACAAAAATTTGTTACCAAGAGCTTGATTTGATACAAAGAGAGGTAGAGGTAGACCGAAACTTACTTGGGGGAAGGTAGTAAAACAAGACTTAATGGGGTGGAATAGAAATTGGTGGATGGTGTGTCTTAGGACAGATTAGAGAAAAGCTATAAGAATGACAGAGGATTAGATCCATTTTTAAGCCTATGTGATGGTCCCTTTCTAGTCCTTTTCCTCTTTATCTTTCTCTTTCTTTCATTTTTTCATTCTTTTCTTTTATTTCATTTTTCCTTTCAATATTTTTCTCTTATTTATTTATTTATATGTTTTTCTTTTACTTTTTTTCCCTATATTCCTTTTATTTATTTATTTTAATTTATTTTCCTGTTGATTGTCTACCGCTTTTAATAGATATATATATGAGAAAAATATTTCTCAAGCAGCTTGAGATATATTTATTTCGTCTACCACAAAACTACGTCGTTTTGTTTATTTATTTCCTTATATTAATTGATTCACCTTTGAATGGTTATGATTTTCTATATCTCTCTCTTCCTTTATCACCATTGATCCATCTTTGTACTGTTATGATTTAGTAGCCGGAAAACTCTGTGCACCATTGATCGTGTTTCTCTCTCTTCCTTTAACATTTATTTAGCAAATACCATTATGCAAGTCCGCACTAATTCAGTTTATTGGATTTTATTACAAAGCAAATAATGTCATAGTAACATCAATGATGCAAAACGAAATTGGTGCACAGAGCATGATCAGATATTATCACTCTTACATTTTTTATCACTGACAGGTCAACAGTTGTACATTCGAATACGGTACACCCGAAAGAGCAGACAAATATTGCTTCCAGCAAAAACCGTCAAACAAGCGATGAATACAGTAAGAACTCTAGAGACACACAAATTCCAGTGCCAAGGTCTTTGCAGGGGCCTCAAAGAATTCCGTTAGGTTTGTGTTATCATTGTTGTCTGTTAAGTTTATGTGCATGATCAACAATTAATACTCATTTTTCTTTTCAGCAAAACCTGGTAAAGTTGTTGGGCCAGTTGTTCCATATGAGTATGGGGGTGTTGTCAAGGACTCTTATGATCAAAGGGCTTTTATCAGAGGTTCTGTGCTTCCTACTCAACCTGTTCCTCCAGCATATTATTATCAAAGATCTAGCACTGGAAGCCAAGAAAGGCCAGCAACAGAAGCTGATAAGGGTGCACCTTTGCAAGCAAAACATGCACAGCAATGTGGAGTTAATGCCAAAATAGCACCAGATATAGCTATTAATATTGATACAAACCCCTTTTTTATGACAAGGGCAGGAGTGAACAAATTAGAACAGGATGATCAAATAGCCATAGAAACAAACTTGCTGCAGTCAAAGGCGCAATATAGTGGAATTAGTGCTGCTGCTGGGGCCACTGCTCATAGGAAAGTTGGGCCTATTCAATATGGTATGACAAGAATGTACTAGAAGACCCTTGTCTTGTGAATGTGTTGGCGAGGGGTAGCAATCCCTGTAGAGAAAAAATGGCTTTTTGTTGGGAAGGAACTGTAGTCTGAGGTGATGATGGTTTGTGTGTAAAATGAGGGAGGGGGAGAGCCATTGATGCAGTGCTTCCCTAGAAAGAGCCAGCTTTCTCTGGTCCAAAAAGCTATGAACTTTGGTTACAAACTATCAAGCAATGTAACAATGGAATTGATTCCTATCTTGCAAGTCAATCCATAACCTCCTTTTCTAGATGTTTGCAGTGAAATAACCACCTTGAAAACCGATCTCTTGGATGCTTGTACTTTTAATCACGTCTTACGCCTCAACAAATTCTGACTCGAAATGTGATTCAAAAGAATTATGTAAATTATATTAAAGAAGATAGAGAGAGCGAGTTTCGAAACAATGATTGTAACGTCCGGCCACTTGCAAGAATCAATGACTGTCCCCACACACTAACATGAGACTTTTCAATGTGCTTTGTCCTCACTCGCACACTTCTCGGGAAAACTTCCCAGGAGGTCACCCATCCCAGAATTGCTCCAAGTCAAGCACGCTTAATTGTGGAGTTCTTCCGAACCGGGCTATCGAAAAGTAGATGCATCTTGTTAGTATAGGTAGTACCAATTAATTCTTATAAGCCATTCCTAACTGTACCGTCCCATACCAGCACAGTCTATGGAATCCCTCTCTTTCGGGTGTTGATTCGATTCATTCATGAACCCCCAAGCTGCAAGATTTGGCATGAGCCGCTCATTGTCCGTGCCTTTTTGCACCGGCGATTACTCCCTGCCCTTGCCAGCTCTTGGGATGTTACATGTCCACCAGCTTTCGCCTGGTTCGTCCTCGAACCACACCGTACTGGAAGAGAGGCCCTGCTCTGATACCACTTGTAACGCCTGACAACTTGCAAGAATCAATGACTGTCCCCACACACTAACATGAGACTTTTCAATGTGCTTTGTCCTCACTCGCACACTTCTCGGGAAAACTTCCCAGGAGGTCACCCATCCCAGAATTGCTCCAAGTCAAGCACGCTTAACTGTGGAGTTCTTCCGATTCGGGCTACCGAAAAGTAGATGCATCTTGTTAGTATAGGTAGTACCAATTAATTCTTACTCGGCGTAAACAAAAATCGGGCAGAGTTTCCTCTATAAATCGGACAACTGGGGATTTTCCAATCCCACTCAGAAACATTTCCTGATAAACAGTTTATACAGCATATTAATCCAGAAGTACCAATCATGCAAATATAATCAGATACCCATCCATGGGCGCATGCAAAATATGGCTCCGTGCCACTATCCTAATCAGCATGCAATCCAATAAGAAATCATAAACTGAATAATACATCATCATATAACATGCCTGAATACCCAAATGTACATGCATCAAAGTGACAGACATGTACAAAGCATATACATGCCATATACAAAATAAAGGATCAATATCATGATCCAGCAAATGCGGAAATACTAAAAGATATCAAACACTCCAAAAAGGTAGTAGCATACAGCCACTCAAAATTCGATCTGTCAACTGCCTTAGCCACGTGTCGTGTCCCTGCCTAGTGAGGACTCACCGGGAATCTGGGCACCTGAAAATATGTCCCCAACGAGGGGTGAGATTACAAATCTCAATAAGCTCCAGGTTTATAGAGAATTCTCCATACCCCTGGCTCACTCTTGCATGAAAGTCAGATACAGAGTATACAAATACAACATATAACAGATATCATAACAGAACAGAACATATATCCATATCATATCAGAGATGTGCGCCGTCATTCCCAAGGGAGGACTCCAAGCGGAAATCAATGCACGTGTTCCCGAGGGAGGACCCCAAAGCGGAACCAGACATATCAGAGGCGTACGCCATCAGTCCCGAGGGAGGACCCCAAAACGGACGTCCGGGTACTATACAATCAATGGCCAGAGATTGTTACAGAAATCATATTACAGAAGTCATATCAGAGCAAAACATATCATGTTATCAAATAACTCTATATGAATGCATCTATACAAAGCATCTAAATAACAGTCATACAGTCCAACCATAGTTCACTAACCATGGTGGAGTACTCAAGTAGGAAAAGACTCCTTAAACATAGAGCTTACCTCTTGAAGCTTTACCAATACGCTTACTTGTTGCACAAGTTACTTATATGTCTTCAAAAGATTCTGATTCCTTTTTAGTCCCTAGGTACACCTAGAGCAAGAATCCACAAATACCAATTAATAAAACGCCATCATGCCTAGCTTTCACATAAGGCATACATTTTATCGCTTCTTTTCATTTCTTTGCATTTTTACCAATCCTATGCCAATACACAAGTCTAGACCTCTTTATAACCGTTGGTGTTCTTTAATTTAATCACTCATTCCCTTAGGAATTTTCAACATAAATCATGTTATTTTTCTTCAAAACTCATCACTTTTATACAATTTAATACAACACATTTTATTTAAAATAAAATGTACAAATATATCCCTAAATACCCTATAGGTCGAACACTACAAGGACATAGGCAAAGGTTCTTTTTCTTCACTTACATGTAACTTACACATACAAATACATGTTTTCATAAGGTTCCAACTTAATTTTTGGAGCATAAAGTCCCTCCAAAACCCCACAAGGCCTAAACCTAAGGGCATATTTCATATAATTTTTCCCTCTTTGGCATTCTCACTAATTTATCAAATTTTCACTTAATTCCTACACATTAAACCCTCCTAATACTTAAGATAAAATTGTGCACAACATCCTACTCTTCACCTATGATGGCCGAACATGTAGAGGAAAGTATAGGATTTTTTTCTAATTTTTTTACATACATACAAATGCTTATTTTCATTTCTTAAATCCAAAACGTCAAAGATTCATCATTAAATCAAAGTTTAATACACAATGCTTTCCTACTAAAACATACTCATAACTTTTATAACTTAAATCATCGAAATAATACCATGGAAATAGAGGTTTATTACCTCAAATCAACTACCCAAAGCCTAGAAGACCACACCAAGAGAATCTCAATCAAAAACTTCATTTTGCCCTCTTGATGAATAATGCACGAATTCGGGATGACAAATATCTCCCTCCACAAACGAAATCAGCTCAAATGGAGGGTTGGAATAGCTTCCTTGGATGATTTCCTATGAGATTGGTATAATGGGTGAAAGATTTGGTTGCTTAATCATGGAGAAATCAAAGAAAAACAAAAACAAACCCTAAGCTTCCTTTTGCCATGGCTGTCACGGGTGGGGAAGGGAAAAGGGAGAGAGAAAGTGTAAGGGAATAGTGAATTTAAGTGACTTAGGGGTTTTTAAGCACATGTGGCTTTTTAACCGATTGTTTTTCTATCGCGTATTTTAACTTAAATTGACCCGGAACTAACTTAAAGTTACAGACATATTTTTTTTTCTAAAATTATTTACATTAATTTTTATTTCTTACTAAACAATATTCATAATTCACAGTATGGTTTTTGCACCGTTTTTGATGAAATGCACTATGAATCACTAATTGTACTTCATTTACTTATGAAACTTAAAACTTATAAACTTATCATTTTCTTGGGCCTATATTGACTTGCTTGGCATATATTGGACTTTCTTATTCTTATTTCATCAATTATTTATTTCTGGACTCTACCGGTTGCTTAAACAGCAGTACAAAATACCCGATAGAAACACTATTCACGAGATTTTCACGGAAAGTGCCAGACTATACATTTTTTTTGTTCTGAACTCATATTTGTCGTCAGAATTATCAAATTATGTCTCTAAAATTATTTTGCTCATTTAAGCTCTACCGGTTAATTCACAAGACTGCGAATTCTCCGGCAGAACGCACTGTTCATAACATAGTCATGATTACAGTCAAAATACTCGAAAGCGCTCACTGAATCTAATTATGGCATTTAAATCCTTAAATTAAATCTCTAATTAAGATTTACCATTTAGGGTCATTATAATGATTAGGTTGCTTTTTGTGATTTGATGATCATGGGTTCTAGTATGAGAAATATATATATTTTTTTAAAAAAAAATGTAAGAGCAAATTCGCCGAATAATTGATTCTCACCCTTTCTCCGATACTAATTCTAGTGGCATTAATTTATATATTTCGGCTCTCAAAAGGCAGAATGTATGCAAATGAGATTAATCCAATCTTTATGAACTCTTATGAATCCACCTGTGACCTGTCACTATGGAGGAAATAAACAGTTTGGTTTTTCACTTTTGCACAGAGGTGGCAAACTGGTAACCTGACCATTGATAATTTCAACGACCAGCTGCGTCGACTCACCAACATATTAATAAAGTGAATTTATTTTAAAAGAATTATACTCCCCATTAGTAGAGGTGTTCATCAACCGATTCAAATCGCGGTGACCGAATCGAAAAATCTATAACCGAATAAATCGAAAACCGAAAAATCGAAAACCGATTAAAAACCGCAAATTTTAATTGGATTGGATCGGTTTTTGGATGGGTTGATGAAAATCGATCCAATCCAAACTGATCCAATATATTAATTTCTCTCTACCTACTTGGGTCTTTCCCTAATCATAGCCTAAAAAATGGCTTTTTGTTGGGAAGGAACTGTAGTCTGAGGTGATGATGGTTTGTTTGTAAAATGAGGGAGGGGGAGAGCCATTGATGCAGTGCTTCCCTAGAAAGAGCCAGCTTTCTCTGGTAAAAAAAGCTATGAACTTTGGTTACAAACTATCAATAATTGTAACTATGAAATTGATTCCTATCTTGCAAGTCAATCCATAACCTCCTTTTCTAGGTGTTTGCAGTGAAATAACCACCTTGAAAACCGATCTCTTGGATGCTTGTACTTTTAATCACATGTCTTACACCTCAACAAGTTCTGACTTGAAATGAGATTCAAAGAATTATCTAAATTATATTATTAATATATATATATATATATATATATATATATATATATATATATATATATATATATATATAGAGAGAGCACTTCTTGAAATTGTGGTAATGTTAGTTTTTTATGATTGTATGATTATGGATTCGAGTATGTGAAATAGTATTTTTTTTTTAAAATGGAAGAGTAAAGGATTGTACAATTGATTCTCACCCTTGTCATCTTGTATGTCCGGTGTTTTTTTTTTTTTTTTGTGATAATGGTGGAGGGCCGAAAGCCCAGAGAACAAACAAAGCAAGTAATTACAGAGAAAGTTGCTGCAACTCTAAAGTAGCACTTTCAACAAGAAAATTGAAAATAAAGACATTTCAAGTAGGCAA